TGCTGGGGTGGCAGCTGTTTTTAACAGTCAATCCTTTTAAGATTAGAGGACATAAACGTAAATACCAAATCTCAGGCCTGATGCATAATGCACACTAGAAATATTACTACACTTAAACCACTCAGAGACTAACTCTCTTTAAGAGCTTTCATAAATTACATTCTAATTTTGACAAAATTGTTGGCAGGCCCTCCAATGTGAAAAAGGCTTTGTTTACATTTAGAATACAGAATATGTTTTAGTTTTGTGAAATTCGAAACAAATGCTTTCCAATTCATTTCTCAGACCTATCTTACAAGTGGTGTAAATCCTCAATTAGTGAGGTTTCACTGAAGCATGAATAAAGTACAACTTGGCGGGGGGTGGGTAACCTTCTAAACCCTTTCCCATCCCCCAGGTTTCTATAATTCTCACTCTAACCTGAAAACAAGAACACGGAAACTTTTCCTTTAGTGCTGACACATCACACTCAAAATGGGCCTTAGTATTTCAGAGTGGAGTGATAGAAATTCTCTACCTCAACTCCATGTACAAATTCTTGATACTTACAGACTGAATCACAATAAACAAGTTCGTAAAGATTGCTTTTTTTGATATCTGAATTTGTTCCTAGTATTTGAAGAGAAGCAGTTATCTTTTGCCATGGGCAGACTTGGGTTCCCCCAAACATAAGTCCAAGTCCTGAATTCTGGTATCTATAAATCTGACCTCATTTGAACATAGGATTTTCATAGATGTAATTAAGTTAAGAATCTTGGGACGAGATCCTGGATTTAGGGGTGGCCCTAAATCTAATGACTGATATCCTCATGAGAGATATGATAGGGAGATCGAAGACACAGAAACACAGGGGAAGGCCATGGGAACGTGGAAGCCGAGCCTGGAGTGGTGCACCCTGAGCTAGGAATGCCTGGAGCCTTCAGACGCAGAAAGAGGCAAGGAGGAATTCTTCCCAAGACCCTCTGGAGGGAGTGTTGCCCGCCCTACCTCGATCTTTTGACTTCTGGATTCCAGAATTGTGAGGTAATAAATTTCTGTTGTTCTAGGCCCCCAAGTTTGTGGTAATTTGTTAAGACAGCCCTAGGAAATTAATACATTCTCAATGGCAAATTTCAAGAAATCAAATTGTAGGGCATTGCTATCACCAGATGTATCTACACAGGTTGCTTTTATTTGTCTAACAATACAAATAGTCACCTCAAGACATTACATTCAATATGCGGTAGATGATAATATAATTCTGAAAAGCCCAACTCAGTTGAAATGCAAATGGCTTTTTCTAGTAATAACTAGACATTGATATTTGTCATAGGACTTCTACCTAAAATAAGGAACTAAGTTAAATTAGAATTTCAGATAAATAATAAATACATTTTTAGTATAAGTATGCTCCAAATATTATGAGATGTCTTTATTTTTTTAATATTTATTTATTTACTTATTGAATACATTTCACTATGCAAGTTTAAGGTATACAGTATGTTACTTTGATACATTTATATATTATAGTATGATTGCCATTGTATCAATACTTACATTACATAATTATGGTATACTATTATTGTCTATATTCATTATACTCTGTATTAGATTCATGAAATGTTTATTTATATTAAAAGATAATGGGTTGTTTATCTGAAATTCAAATTTAACTAGGCATCTTGTATTTTTATTTGTGAACTCTGGAACCCTATAATTGCAGCAGAGAGATTGCTCATCTCACTCAAAATCACATAGCTGATAAAATGTTGAGCTTAGATTTGATATTATGTGCACCAGACTCCCCAAGATCATATACTTTCTAGTCCACTATGCTGCTTAAGGCAGAGTTAATAAAACTTAGGAAAAGGCAGTAGCATTCCAAAGAGCCATATGGTTGCTGTTCTATAAAACAGGTTATAAAATTGAAGAATGATGGCCAGTTTTTACAGCTGAGCCCACATCAGTGCCTATTATGTATGAAGGAAGATTCTGGAGATGTAAAGCTCAGACAACATCCTAGTAATGGTGTTGATATTGGAAATGAGCTTTTCCTTTCCACTATTCTGTGTAAGGATGATAAGGGACATAGAAAGCATAGGCGTTTTGGTTTTGCTGGGCCGGAGGTAAGAGGATCACTGTAAGAAATGATCAAAGAGTACTATTTCTGCTAATTCTAGTAGTTATACAAATATTTTTGCTTACATTCACCTTTCCCAAAATCCACATGACTCCCAGGCTCCTTAATCATCAGCCTTAAAAATCTCAATAGTTGATCTGAATTTCCCCATCCAACTGATCTCAGGTGCTACAAGACATGCCCCTGAAACATCTCGAATATTTTCCTTTCCTTCACCATTTCCACATTCATAATCCCAGCTCAGTCCCCCAAAACTGACCTTCGACATGACAGGAGTGCTTGCCAGCTTGTTTTCTCATTTCAGACTATCCATCTCCATTTAATTTTCCTATATGTATGTAAATTATATGTATATAAATTGGCAAATGTAAACTGACCCAATACTATCTGTCCAATCATATGCTTAGCGCATCTGTTATTCATATAGGTAGAGCTTAGATAAATTTCAATCAATCCCAAACTTAATTCATATTATTTCCTCTGATGAAATATCTCTTCTCATATCTACCCAATAAAAACTTCATGAATGCCAGGCAAATAAGTATAAGTAAATAGTGAAGTTGGATTAGAGCTTGCATTTTAAACACTTCAGGAGAGCTTTCATATCCATAAAGTAATCTTTTCTCTCTCTTTTTTTTTAAAAGAATATCACCCTCTCATTCTACCATTAAAAAGTTCTTATTCTTGGCAGAGACATGTATAGACAATAATTTGCTACTGTAATAAAGACAGTGGTGCCTGCACAGTGCCATCCAGGCTCAAAATTGTGGACATGGAATGATGGAACAAGATTGAGCACACCTTGTCCTCAGGGTAGTGCTACTCAGCTCAAGTAACTGGCCCCATATGCTGTCAGAGTTTGCCTGATGTTTCCTCATGATTACATTGAGTCTATGCATTTTCGACAAGAATGCCTGCAGGGCATCACATCCATCTGTCTCATTACTGCTGAAGTTAACTTTGATCACTTGGTGGTATCCTGCAAGTTTCTCTACTGTAAAGTTACTACTACCCCTTTGTAATTCATATGTATCTTGTGAGGAAATACTTTGAAGTGACACAAATAGCCTGTTTTTCATCACAATTTTGCACATATAGTTTTAGCATCAATTGTTTATTTCTGCCTTCAACAATTGTGACTACGGTGTTTGTTAAAAGGTGATTTTCTGTTTCTATTTTCCCTTCTGCATTTGTTCTTTGGAGCTCTACCATAAAGAAAAGCTATACCTTCTCAACCATGTATCTATTTACCAGCATGAACTCATAGATATTTACATTATTCTATAGGTTACAATCCATTATCACCATGATTTATTTTGTTGCTGAAATTGCCCCAGCTTTGACCATTAGGAGCTCCTTTAAGTTGGCTCCTGTCATTTTGACATTCTGCCATCAATGTTTGAGTACTTCCTTACTTTTTGGCACTGCAAAATGTTGCAGGCTCATCTTGTACTTCCCCACCCCAGATGTGCAATGAACCATTTCTCCAGGAGCCCTGCTTAATAAGCTGTATTTAGAAACCAAGGGCTGGGCCCGGGGTGACGGCTCCTTTGTCATTGTACCTTGATGGTTGCTTATAGGACCTTCAGCAGTTAGGGCGAGGAGCACATACACACACACACACACACACACATCTCTATCCATTTTAATTTCTATCTATCTGTCTATATATTAAAAACCACTTAGTTCATATTGATACCTCTCTAACACACCAAGGTTCATTCCAGCTTCCCCCATTCTATATTGGAACTTCTTTCTCCAAACAGTGAAAGGCCTGGATCTCTTCATCTATAATCATTTAGTTATTCACTCATTAAGTAGTTTCAGAATCAATAATTATGCTTTAGAGTACATTATTTATGAATAGTTCTTTTTGTCTTGATTTTTATAGTGTATAATCCAAATACTACTTTACATAATCATTTAGATTAGTTGTTTTATTCCCCATCCAGAGGTGTGGTTACAGCTATATTTCATTTCAGGTTCCTCCCACATGCTGGTTGATACATATACACATATATATGTATGAAACTTAAAAGATATATATTACATATAAATATATATAATTTGGTATAAATTTTATAAAAAATAATTTTATGTATTTATATAAAACTAAAAGTGTTACATAAATACAGCAAAATAATACTATGTTAATAGCATTATTTTCTTTCTTTAACTGTTGATTATTTTGGGGCAATTCTTAAAAGCTTACATATACATAAAAGTTCATATATATATATATATATAAATTCTTACATAAATCTCTGGTCCTGCCTCTAAACTGGATTAAAATAATGCTTAAGGTAATCCAGGCTAACTGATCAGGAGACTGATTAGATCAGGAACTAAAGAATATTTGTTTTTCCTTCATCATGGCCTATGAAGACTTGTTTAATCCACAGTGAGACTAATGACATGTCCAACCAAGCCTCAGAAAATTACTTGTTGGGAATCTTCAAAGTTTTAGGGAGATGCTAGTCCCAGATTCTGCAATTTCAGCAGATTCAACTAAGCAAATCTATACAGCAAACAGAATTTCAGGTCTGCCAAAAAGTGACTTCTGATAAGGCTTCAATTATCGTGCATGTGCTTAACCAATTGTGCTACTAATTAGGTATAATGCAGAGTCTAGTGCATTAGTGGTTCGGAGGGACCTAGCTGTCTAGGTGGGACTAGTTCAGTGCTTTCGAACTTGCTCCCTAACCTCTTTCCCATGGTCATAGCTATCACACAATGTTTCAAACCACATCCCTGAACCCAACCTTCTAAAAATAAAAATACTATAGTTGATTTTTTTTTTTACTTAAATAACTATAGGACAATAAAGTTTGTCAAAATATATAAAATTAGCTTCCAGGTAATGTTGTTCTTGTGTTCTTACCTCCTCGATCTCGGGCGGCTAAACTTTGACCCCTTCTTAATGTAATGTCCAGTTGGTACATTCCGGGATCAGCCAAAGAGACATCTGCATTACTGGTTCCAGTGGTATTTATTTTCTGGAAAACAAGAAATATACACAATATTAAATTTATCATCTCTCTTCCATGTCTACCAATGGGAGACTATATGTAGCTTAACTCAAACTATAAGAACTAGTCAATAAAATAAGCCACCTTCTGAATTCACACATCGTAATCACTCAGTCTCTGAAGATTTTGAAATTCATGAGATTCCTTACACTCAAAGTAAAAACATAGCAGTTATAGGAATCCGTATTTTCACTCAGATTAGAGATAAGAAATAGAATATGAAAACCATTTCCCATGGAAAGTCCCACATAATTCAACTAAGGAAGACTAACAAAGAAACAGTGTCTGAAGTAAAAATACAACCAGTGATGGATGTATGCATAACCAGAATGGAGTTATGCAGGAGCAGGAGATTTCCACATACCTGAGTTGAAAATTAAAATGATTTATTCAGGTGACTTTGTTGACTCATTTATCTACATAAAAGGGTTCATACTGATGGATTACACACTTCTATATCAACCCCAACATAAAATATGATATAATTATACAGAAATTCACCTAGCATTTTGACAGTATTTGCAAGAAATAAATTCTCAGTGGGACTAAATTTCTAATGCTGCTTTCTATGGAATAGAAGTGCACAAGCTATTTCTAGAACTAAAAAATCTTTGTAAAACTACCTCTGTAGAATATCTTTAGCAACAATGTATGCTGTCCATTTACACTTTAGCAACAATACACTAGGCATTGAGTTACAAATGCACAGGGAAGAAGAATGACTACATTAAAACCACCCAAAAGAAACATATTAAAATTTGTACATGGCATATTTTATACTTTCTGCCAGTTTGAATACAGCAAGAATATTTACTTTTCTTCACATGTTGGAGATGATTTTAAATTCTTATAATGTTTTCCATTTTAAAATGAATGTCCTTTTGTTTTAAAAAATATGCATGGATAAGGGAAAATATTAGACACCACAGTTTACAGTAACTACAACTACACAGCAGCAACTTTTTTGAGGTTTCAACACCAAAACAGTAAGTTTTCCTATAGGAGCAATTATCATTTAAAATAAGCAGCAGCACAACTTTGACTGATAACCCAGACCTGTCATCTTGCCTCCAGTGACAATAAAAAAGAATTCACTTCTTCTCGTGATGTCCTTGTGTCTGTGACTGATGGCACAGATCCCCAAGTTGCTCAGGGTAGAATTTGACAAGATAGCTTTAATTTTTTCATTTCCCTCTCCCCCATCCAGATTGCTGCCAAATCCCACCCACTCCATTTCCATATTATATCTCCCAGGTGACTTTTTCCTTTTAATTCCTATTACCACTAATTGGGCCAGACCTTCAAGCAACAGGGGCGAATAACGTAAACAGATTATCTGGCTCTTCGCTCAAACATCCAATTGCCCCACCTCCTTAGGGTTATCAATTATAACAATTTAGGGCATATCCTTCCATTCTTTTGAAGGTCTTATATAAATACACATACATATAGGTTTATTTTTCTATGGATGAGTTTTCAGCTTTTGTTCTTAACAAAGATATCACATTTTGCCTATTATGTCACAATTTATTTAACTTAAGGAAAATATTATGGGCACTCTTCTAATCAATATATATAGACCTAGCCAATTTTTTTTTAAGTATATCATTTTCCACAGTGTGGGTATACCGTAACTTCTTCAATTATTTCCCTAATGATAGACATATGAGTTGTTCCAGGAATTGCCACTATATGGACTTGTGCTTTTGTTTCTCTTATAGGATGAATTTTTCCAGACATTTAAATAGTTCACACTCCTATCAAATGTGCACAAAAATGCATCTTTCCCATATCCTAATCAGCATGAGATGTTACAAATTTTCAAGTTTAATAGGTGAAAAAGGTTATTTTCCCTTAATACACATTTCCAGAACAATAACAAGATGCCTTGAAAACTAGTGTAAATGGCAAGAGAGTGACAGCTGTTCACTGGGCCACACAGAAGACGCCAACTTGGAAAGACAGAAAGCCAACCAAGGTGGTCTAAACAACTTTTCAAAGAACAGTTTGTATGTGGGTTTAATTAATATTAAGTATTAATATTAAATAATAAGATTTAAGTTCAAATCCAGCAAATACTTGTTAAGTTCTAAGTATGTTCCAAGCCTTTCATTAGTTTCTTTTATATACATGGTTTCAAAAGAAACAAATCCATTGATAAATATTAAGTGTAGATAGATTTACTATTTTCTAAAAACTGCAATAAAATCTACAGGAAAGGGGAATTTTCTACCCACTTCCATTCTCTTGCAGTTTTTAAAGGGTACTTAAAGCTAGAAAAGATTGAATACTCTCATATCTGTATTCTTTGTACCTTTCACTGCTCTATTCAGTGCTTCTTGAAGTTCAGAGTGAATAACTCATAGAGTATCTGGTTTTATATTTTTAAGTGTACATTATAGTAAGTGGGAAAGTCAAGGAATTTTCATAGGCAATTTTAACTATACTAGATTTTTTACTTTCAGTGTTTTAGAATTTAGTACCTAGTTAAGAAATAACTTCACTGGACTTTTATTTATTTATATTATTCAGTCTTTTTAGAGCCTGAATAATATTCCATGGTGTGTGTAATATTTTCTTCATCCATTCATCTGATGGCAGACATTCAGGCTGTTTCCCTATCTTGGCTATTGTGAATAATGCTGTAATGAACACGGTAGAGCAGCTATCTCTCCAAGATACTGATTACCTTTCTTTTGGGTAGATACTGCCTTCCCCCTCCTGTTCACCACCCATGCTTCAAAGACCATCTCATTAGCACTTTATATTTTTCGTGTCCATTAACATATTCTATCTCAAATGTTATATTTGCCATTTTAGATTGTAAACTTTTAAAATCAGGAAACAGAGTACTTAAGGACCAAGCTAAACACAAATTATGATAGAGGCTATGAAAACAAAACGCTGTTCGCAAGGGCACGTGATCTAGCTCAGCGGACACATACACGGGTGTCTCTGACAGAGTTGACCACTCCATGGGTAGTCTGTTTTCTCTCCTTTACAGGACCCGTATGACACCTAATTTGCATGACCTTCTTTCATGAGGAATCTAAGTGCGCTCTTAGAATCTTCCTTAGTGTACTTCTCTAGGTTACTATTACCAATTGATCAAGATTGGCAGTTAATAAAATGAAACCCTGTCTACTCCAAAGCCATAATTAAAGAAAGCATGTGCTCCAAATGAGTTATTAAGTCATTGGGAGAGCAGGAAAGAAAGACCAATTATTACGGAAGAAGAATCTGTGGTGGTCTCATAGAGGTAACAATGGGTCAGGGTGTGAAAATATGGGTAGAATTCTGACAAGTGAAGATTTGGAAGAAAGGATAATGGGAAAACCAACATGAGCCCAGTGATGAGTAGTCACCAAGGGATGCATCACTGGATGTGCGAGAAATATGGTAGAAAGGCTGATACACAGCAACCCCAGGCTGAGGAGAGTCTTAATCTGTGGGCAGCAGCCCATCATGACAGGCTTTTGAAGGGAGAAACAATATAACAAGACCTCATTTAACACTTACTACCTATCTTTCATGCTTCCTGCACTGGGCTTAAGTGTTTAGACTTCAGAGCTGAACAAAAGCTGGCCTTTTCTCCCTGTAGGATGTTAGAGAGTAGAGAAATCCTGTGGAGATAGGAATTACTTAAAAGGCTTTATAATGATCCAGTCTAAGTCACAAGGGCCTGATCTGGTCAGTGGTAATGGAAATAAACAATGAATTTGAGAGATATTCAGGAGATTCAGTCAAGTGAATGTGTCAACTGACAAGATGTAGGAGATACACGGGAAATGGAGAGATGAGTCAAGAGTTGGAGCTGAGCCCCTGGCAGCATGATAACGGCAGCAGGCAGCAGACACCGAGGCCGAGCACTTTCCAGGCCCCGCTGCCCCCCGCCGCCTCAGACTCTAGGGCTGCAAAACAAGGAGGTCCAGAATGTAGGCAGATCTAGAAAGGCACCTCTCCTGAACAGGCCATTCGTGGAGAGATACTACAAATACAGTGTTTTCTTGTAAAGTCTCTTAAAAGTGTTTTAAGTTCCCAAATAAAAGCATATATTAGGAAAGATGTATCTGAAACACTAGGCACACATACAGCTCTAAAATAAGCTTTGTCATTGTAAATGTCTTTCTTTTCAAATTCAACATTCAGTGACTATGATAAGAACTTTAAACCCTTCCCCTCCTCAAACTGTTGCCCCACACTTAGACGTGTGTTCTATTTTTTTAGCCACTTTATTGAGGTATGATTGATATGTAAAAAGTTATACATATTTAATATATACAACTCGATAAGTTTACAAACATATCCCGTGCTTCCCAAAGTTCCCTCCCACCCCCTTTATTATCATTATCATTATAATTTGTGTGTGTGTAGTAACAGAACGTGAGATTTACTCTCTTAGAGAATTGTAAGCATACAATACAGCATTGCTAGTTACAGGCACTATGATGTACAGTGGACCTCCAGAAATTACTCATCTTGCGTAAATGAAACTTGGGACCCTTTCACCATCACCTCCTCCTTTTCCCCTCCCCACCAGTTCCTGACAACCACCATTCTACTCTCTGCTTCTATGACTTTGACTATTTTAGTTTCTATATGTAAGTGAGATCATAGAGTATTTTCCTTTCTGTGTCTGGCTTTTTTCACTTGACATGATGTTCTCCAGGTCCATCCATATTGTTGCAAATGCTAGACTTCCCATCTTTTTTGAGGCTAAAATAATATTCCACTGCATGTTTATACCACATTTTCTTCATCCATTCATCCATCAGTGGACATTCAGGTTGTTCCCTTATCTTGGACGTTGTGAATAATGCTGCAGTGAACAGGGGAGTACAAGTATTTCTTGGAGACCCTGATTCAAATTCCATTGCGTGAATACCCATTAGTAGGATTCCTGGATCATACCAAACCATAAAAGACTCCAAAAAGCAAAGCCAAGGCAATCCTGAGAAAAAGCAAAG